AGGAAATGTATGACTAGGGAGGCTATTGGCATCCTTGAGGAAAGAAATTTAGTGATTAGAGAGTAGAAGACTTTGTTAGCGATAACTTTGCCTATTGCCTAAGCAAGCTCAGAAAAAACAAATATACCACAAAACAAGCAAAAAGAAGAATTTTGGATCAAGGATCTATCGTAAACCAGAGGAAAAGGGATCGCAAGTAAGAAGTGAGTGAGGAAGTCTCGGAAATCAAGCGGAGACGATATAAGTGAGTGTGATCTGATCGAAGAAACAGCTACAACTTTGGGGGCCTAGATGTCACGTAATAGGGCTACGGATAATCACAGCCGTCATAGAAATTCGGCCTTAAGGCCAAATTAAATAGAAACCCACTCGAGACAAAGACGACTAGAGATAGACGTGCATAGTTTGCTCAAGGTACACAGGTTTAATAAAATGGATGACCCGTGAGGCAACGCCTCACCGGAAGCTGAAGTGGGATTGTCTTGGGGCTGTGACTGCAGATGTGTACAAATAGGTTATTGGTGCACAGTTTTGCGACCCCAATGAATCTTTGCTAAGCTTTTGTCCGTCATGTGACAGGCATAGTGAGAGCAGGACACCATGCTTTACAAAAATGGGCCATAAGAATTAGGTATGATTACAACTAGCTACCTTTCTTATCTTTACCCTTGATGATTATCATAAAGCATAGTGTCCTGCTCTGAAAATATCCGTCATATGAAGGACAAAAGGATTCATCGGGGTCGCAAGATAGTGCGACGAGGACCTAATAGCACAAATCTTCATTCAAGGCTTCAGGGCAATCTCCCTTCATCTTTCAGTAAGGCCAATTTACCAATCCATACTCACCTCTTCAAATGAAATAAAGTGCTCCAATACTTTTACTTGGAATTAAAACCAAATAAAAGGCAACTTAGAACAAATAAAAGTTGCTGTAAATGTACATATAGTATTTGCCTTAAATTTGTTATGTTAAAGTGTGCAAATTTGTTTAAATGAGTGGGTAAATTATAAGGACTTACGCGAGTGGAATAATGTAGGAGAAAAGAAGAAAAAAGCGCCAGTAGTACTTGAACCAAGATCCCATGAAACCTTTGAGGGCAATCATCACTAGAGCGAGTAGAACTACGACAAAAAATAGCAATTTGTTAATATTGTTCACATCACGATCAACACGGCCAAGCTTAGTGCGCGCCTTGCTCGAGTTCATGACGGCTCGCGTCTCGGAACCAGTGTATACAACTAGCCCTAAGCAAGAGCCAGTGGCCAATACAGTATTCGACCAAGCGGTGTTGTCCAGGCTAAGCGATGCGTCGGCAGGAGGGACACCAGAATTAATTCCCGTCAATGAAACCTGAGGTGCCGCTGTCAGACTTGTTACGAAGGCACTACATTCTGTCCTGGAAAACAGGGATGATTCGGTTCGTGTAAAAGTGCCCTCAAAACTGTGTATGTTCTGATTTGGTGGCTCAGCATAAACATGGGCCTAGAAAGAATAAATGGATTTATAAAATAAAAATGGTTTAGGGGGCAAGTCATAGAGCTCAATTAGAGAAAAAAAGACAATCTAGCTATTACACGATCTTCGATCAACTAAAAGACTTTAAGTGTTGATTCAACCTCGTTTTCGCAACTTGGTCGGAGCGTCAGGGAGGCCTAGTGGAAAGTACCTAATCCTGTGTCATTTGCCATAGTATTAGTAATTTCCAGCATCGGACCATTGCCTTGGTACATTCTCAAACTGACGCTCCAAAAAAGTTGCGAAAACGAGATCGAAAAAACACCATAAAGCTAAAGGAGACTACGATCAAACAGAAGACCACACCATCCTGGTCTTCAAATCTACCATATAAATACCTTCAAGTTTAGAACCTTGGTATAGGTAAAATTGTAAATAAGTAAAAAAACAATCAATATTCATAGTCTCAAGAGTGGCTGACACTTGAATTTTCCGTCTTGTTTACATAATAGATAAGCCCGATAATCAGTTTCACATAGACTAATCTCAAATGAGATACATAGTATTTCAAGAATAAACAAACATTCTGAACATGTCTTTAGAGTAAATAAAGACAAAATCATAAAAAACAAGGCCAACAAAGAAACAGCCTATATAGGTGTTGCTTAAGTAGGTTCAAATAAAAGATGAAGGATAATACTAAACGTATTATTTGCTTTACTCTATAAGAGAGTTCTTTTCTTGGAGATAATTAGTTAGCGGATTAATGTAGTAGTATATAGAAACAGTTAATTAATTTCAATAAATTTTCTAGCATATCATATATAATTGAAAAAGATCAAGTGGACAAGTTAATCAAGTTACCTGATAAGATGAAGGTGGAAGGGTTTTCTGCTTTAATAGCATAGAATTAAGATAATTTCACGTTAATAAGAAACACCAAACAATTTAACTTCTTTGAATGGGTTTAAAAAATATGCAGAATTACCCATAGGTTTTAGAATCAACCGTTTCTCTGTTTAGGCAAATATTACTAACTTGGACCGTATAATGGGGTAAAATATGTATCTTCTTAGAGAATTAGTTTATTAATATCAGCAATATTCTAAGTAATAAAGTACAAATATGAAAAAGCATCGCACACAAAACACTCGCGTATAAAAAATAGATTAGAATTAACAATTATTAGCTGTGCACGTTCCTTACTAATAGGATGAAGCATTTTAAAAATTTCCAACATAAGAGTAAGGAGAAACCTTACGCATAGGTCAAGCAATGCGTCCATATTATTTCCATGAGGCCCACAAACCTCCTGAGTGGCAGGGATCGCTTGACGCAGCTTCCAGTCAGTCTCGCCATCAAGCTGATCAGTACGAATGAAACAAGTGCCTTGGCGATCAGAGGTCCATAAGAGAACAACATCAGCAGGAACACGCTGATCCTTATCAATGCAGATGATATCACCAACCTTAGCAGAAAAATTGTATAGAGATAGATAAAATTGTGCATATTAATTCTAATCCTGAATAAAAATTCAGCAAATTAAAAAAAATTAAAGAACATCAATGCTAATTTGATAGGACTGATTTCCTTAG